TTATCAACCTCTAATTTTAAGAATCATACCAAATTATCTATTTATCTAACTTTGTTCCCATCCTGTCATCAAATCTTGCTCTTCTTTCTCTTCTAAATATCCTGGCCACTAGGAGATGCACTTCACCCATGTCACCAGGCAATTCCTAAGCCAGTCAACAAATGGTGATTTAGTCAATATCTTTAGAGATAAATTCTAGGATAACTCTCCATGAATCAAATTATAAAACAAAATAAAACATTTCATTTTAGTAGACAAAAGTCCAGTCGTATACTTGAAACAATATGTCAACACAGAAACTATTAAAGCAATTAAAGATATAAGTAATACTTTGATAGAAGGCTTGTTTCTATGACAATCCATGAAAAATTATTGATATCAGTTCCTTTCATTTCTTTCTTCTGGTAACAATCAGATTTGTTACCGTTCTTTTTAAAGAAAGTGTTTTCCAGACTGCATCTTAGTCTGAGTCCTTGTTCCCTACCCCTACCCAGGCAGAATTGCTCCTGCATTCTTTTAATTACTTTTGTTCCTCTCAAGTATTACCATATATTGAGTGCTTCCTTAAAGTATGTCCTCACAGCATATATTAGATAGTGCTTCTTTTGAGTCAATATTTTATTCTAATAATCTTCCAGGATGTTCTAGCCTACTATAACATGTCTAAATTCATTTGAAAAGTTTTAGGATTCTTCAGAATTAAGTGTCATCCTCTGTGTCTATCATCATGTCCAATTCATGATGGTTACTTCAACAGCAAATGACTCTACCAAACTCTACGTAAGCCCTTTTCACCATCCTTTAAGCACATTATTCTCACTAAATTCTACCTCTGAGCTTGGTTTATGTTGTTCATATTCTTTAAATTTTGTCTTTTCTACTCTCTGTTTTTTTAAACATTCTCTACCCCTTAAGGTTCATAAGGAGATTGACTCCCTTCATATGATTTTCCCCAGTTTTATCTACCAGGTTATACTGACCTTTCCTTTCTCTGTTCTTCAAGTCCCATGTTCATAGTCTTAGATATAAATTGAAAGCAACAAAAACAGTTTTACTTTCTTTTCTCTTATCATATCTCCCATATCCCTTATTGGTGCAAAAATATGGTGAATTAGCATTTTTGATCAGTTACTAATAAGGATACTAGTACATTATTATTTTGGAAGTTGCAGCAAAGAATGAATCCTGATTTAGAGTCTAGAAGGGTCAGGCCACTAGAAATGTACATTAGTATTATATTTTTTAGAAAAGATTTAGTGCCAACAAGCAGATATATATGAAGTTTTATTGTTTCTGTGATCATACTTTTAAATCGATATTTGTGCACACACAAAAACACACACTTACAAAAAGCAGCCAAAGAGTCTATTAGTTTCATCTTGTTAGAAAATTTAGATGTTGAAATGGTCTATTCACAGTGAATCAATGGTGCTCTAAATTTACTTTGAAATAATAGATGTATGGTGAGAGGAAAAACCCAAATAGAAGCACTATCTAGGAAATGTTTATACAACATCACATCTACAAACATTAAATATCATACACAATAGAATCCTTTTTAGCATATAATTTATCTCAATTTTTCCAATTTTTTTTTCATTTTCTCTCCTAGCATTACTCACAGACAAGCCTCCCAAACCACTGTTCCCCGTGGAGAATCAGCCAAGTGTTATAGATGTCCAGCTGGGTAAGTCCCCTTCTGGGAATAATAGATTCAAAATTTTCTCTGTTAGCAGATGGGGAAAATTGCATGAACCAGGAAAGGTTTATTGCCACTGTTATTACATGCAAATCAGTCTGTGTTCTGCTCATTTATAACCCTGTATTTCAGTGCAATAGCAGTTTAAGGGGAAATGAGTTTGTATTGCATTAAGGAATGGTAATACTAATTTGTTACAGTGAGTATTAAGTATACTGTGTGACAGAGCTTGTTAACTCAATGATTGATAGGTTCACAAATATTTTCCGTTGGTGAATGATATAGAAAATATTTGTAAAATAGTCAAAATTTTTTATTTGAACAGCATGAACTCACAGACAATAAGCACTTGTTAAAACAAGGCAGAACTTTAGTAAAACATTTAAAGTGATTTGATAATATTATTTCTAACAACACAATCCAGTGGTATTTAAAATTTGTTTTTAGGTTGGAACCATGAAA